ACAACACAGCTGACACAGTATCTAGCTGAGGCAGGATATACCACGAGAGGTAAAATTGGATGTACTCAACCACGTAGAGTGGCCGCAATGTCAGTGGCGAAGAGGGTTGCCGAGGAGTTTGGTTGCCGGTTAGGGGAAGAAGTTGGTTACGCCATTCGTTTCGAGGATTGTACTGGGCCAGAGACTGTGATAAAGTATATGACAGATGGTATGCTGTTGAGGGAGATACTGGTGGACGAGAGTTTGTCTAAGTATTCGGTTGTAATGCTCGATGAAGCTCATGAGAGAACCATTAATACTGATGTTCTCTTTGGTCTCTTGAAGCAATTACTTAAGAGAAGACCAGACCTTCGGTTGATCGTCACATCTGCAACTTTAGATGCAGAGAAGTTTTCGGGATACTTTTTCAACTGTAACATCTTTACTATCCCAGGGAGAACCTTTCCAGTGGAGATACTTTACACCAAGCAGCCAGAAGGCGACTATCTTGATGCAGCTTTGATAACAGTCTTACAGATTCATTTAACAGAACCTGAAGGTGATATCCTTATTTTCTTGACTGGTCAGGAAGAGATTGATTATGCTTGCCAGTCTCTTTATGAGAGGATGAAAGGTCTGGGTAAGAATGTTCCTGAATTGATAATCTTACCTGTTTATAGTGCCCTGCCTAGCGAAATGCAGTCTAGAATCTTTGAGCCTGCCCCTCCAGGGAAGAGAAAAGTAGTTGTTGCTACAAATATTGCCGAAGCTTCTTTAACAATAGATGGCATTTTTTATGTCATAGATCCAGGTTTTGCTAAGCAAAATGTATATAATCCAAAACAGGGGCTTGATTCATTGGTGATAACGCCTATATCACAAGCCTCAGCGAAGCAAAGAGCTGGGCGTGCTGGACGAACGGGACCAGGAAAGTGTTATCGTCTTTACACAGAGAGTGCATTTCACAATGAAATGTCTCCCACATCAATCCCGGAAATTCAGCGTATTAACCTTGGGATGACAGTGCTTAATATGAAAGCTATGGGTATTAATGATCTTTTGTCCTTTGATTTCATGGATCCTCCCTCTCCTCAAGCACTAATATCCGCCATGGAGCAGCTCTTCACTCTAGGAGCTCTTGATGAAGAGGGGCTGTTGACAAAGTTGGGTAGGAAAATGGCGGAATTTCCCCTGGAACCTCCACTGTCCAAAATGCTACTCGCCAGTGTAGACCTTGGATGCAGTGATGAGATTTTGACCATCATTGCAATGATTCAGACGGGCAATATTTTTTACCGACCTCGGGAGAAACAAGCACAAGCTGATCAGAAAAGGGCAAAGTTCTTTCAGCCAGAGGGTGATCATCTAACCCTGCTCGCCGTTTATGAAGCATGGAAAGCCAAAAATTTCTCTGGACCCTGGTGCTTCGAAAACTTTGTACAATCGCGATCTTTGAGGCGTGCTCAAGATGTCAGAAAACAGCTCCTTTCCATCATGGACAAGTACAAACTGGATGTTGTGAGTGCTGGAAAAAATTTTACGAAGATAAGGAAGGCCATAGCTGCAGGTTTCTTTTTCCATGGTGCTAGGAAGGATCCACAAGAAGGGTATAGAAGCTTGGTTGAGAACCAGGCAGTATATATACATCCCAGTAGTGCTGTATTCCAAAGGCAGCCCGATTGGGTTATTTATCACGAGCTCGTGATGACAACCAAGGAATATATGCGTGAGGTGACCGTGATTGATCCCAAGTGGCTGGTAGAGTTGGCACCGCGATTCTTCAAAGTGGCTGACCCGACTAAATTGAGCAAACGTAAGAGACAGGAGCGCATTGAACCTCTTTACGACAGATATCACGAGCCTAATTCTTGGCGCTTGAGTAAAAGGCGTGCTTGATATCTACATCAACAATGTCATAATATATCATGTGTTCACACTCTGCTCAATGTATATATCTTGCTATGTTATAGGAAGGATGAGTAATTAATTATAATATAGCTTTACTCTTTCAATTCGAATGCCATTTTCCATTTGTTCATGCTTTCATGTAGCCGGATAACGTTTTGTGATAGTTACTATCGTCACAAATTTGTATGTACATAATATAAATAACTTCAATAATTTTTATATTCATTACAATTGATAAGATTATACAGCAAGTCCGCTATTATTATAACTTGAAAGCTAACTAAATCAGGATAAATTTTAATATTTGAGCGTTGTTGACAAATAGGTCATTTACGTTGTCATTGCACCATAATCACATTAAAATCTAACAATGTGTCTTATCAATTTAAACCACCACCATCACTCCACCACAACAATGGATCTGAATGTGAGAGTTAGGCATGTGAATCCTCACCTTTGTTGAGGGATTTGAACTTCTCTAAATATGCAGAACTTGAGCAAATCACTTTATAATAAAAGCTAGTATCACTTTGAGACAAAATAGCATCGTTTTTGGTAAATACACAACACTTTGTGTATAAAATATTCACATAGATTATATAATATATATATAAGCCATATCAATTTAAATATAAATGTTGTGACATTTTTATAAATATATAAAAGTTTTCACATATCAGTATTAGGTAAAATCACATCCTTTTGTTGAAAACTCAGATCATTTTATACTAAATGTACATGAATATATCATAGTGTCATAGCTTCAATCCATTAACGCACTTAATTGGTAGTCCGTTGCCAAGTCCCAATGGAGTGAAAAGGGATTTAATTTCTCTCAAGTTTGGTAGTCTCGTTTGAGGATTTAATATCTCTCAATTCATCAAAGTGGTTGTTTTAGTCCACTACTAACAAACTATATGTTAATATTAATAATGTATCTTAAATATCTAAATTATTGTGGGACACTTTAGTCATTTTTTATTTATACCACTTTGTATTAAATAAATAATTAATCGTTGAGATTGACAAATACTTTTTTTTTTCAAATTGGCCATTTGCCTTTTAATTACACCCAAAGTAGTTCTCTGACTATAGTGAAAATTCTGAATTTCCAGTTTTATCCCTCATTTGAACACCCACTTAACACAAAAATTAACAGTCCATTTTGACTTAAAATTCAACAGTCGGAGGATCACTTTGGATGCAATTAAAAGTCAAGGAATCAATTTAAGAAAATGCCATAGTCGGAGGACATTTTGAGAATTAACTCAAAAATTATATTTTAAACTGCCTTTTTCATTAAAAAAAAAAAAAAGGGAAATAAGGATTTTTTTACCCAATGTTTTTTTTTCCCACTTTCCTAAGTTGATGTGACCAAAATGCTCATACTTTTTCCATCTTTGGAAAACAAGTATGGTAGGGAGTGACATTGTAAAATTTTTCATATATATATAAAGAAAAAAAAATGTTATTGAAATATTTCACATGATGCAGTCGTTTTAGTGTAATTAAAGCTAGTACACGAGTAAATGAGATAAATTGATATCTCATCCGAGAAATTAAAAGAGATTAATTAAAATGTCTTTAAATTTTGTTAGTTTGGATGAATTTAAATTCAATAAATTAAACATAAAGTGTTATACTTCCATTTCGCATGCGCATCAAACATGGAAATGGAAATAGCTGAAAGTGCCATAGATAATAATGGCAGTGTAACAGGAGAGGTGGGAGTAGGGTCTCAAACAAATCAATCAATAATCTAATAAAAACAAGAAAAAAGTGTCAAATAAGCAAATAAACTTATTTTGTATTGTAATTGGATCACTGAATTTAAAGAAGAGTTAATACCATCCGATGTCTTTCGAGTGAGTGGTTTTGCCACGTTTAGTCCTAAACTTTTAAATTGACCATCTGTGGTCTTTCGACTTTTAAATTTAACCATTCATGGTCCAAGTTAACCACCCATGGTCCTTCAACTATTAAATTTTGACCAACCATGGTCCTTTCAAAAGGACCACAATTGGTTAAATTTTGAAACTTGAAGGACCATAGGTGGTTAACTTGGACCACGAATGGTTAAATTTGAAAGTCGAAGGACCACAGATGGTCAATTTAAAAGTTTAGGACTAAACGTGGCAAAATCACTGTACTCGGAGGACCTCAGATGGTATTAACTCATTTAAAGAATATGCAATTGAGACATTTTTCTGTTTTCTTTTAATGCAATTTGAGTTAAATCATTTCAATCTTTACTTCCAATTAATATGATAGTAGAAAGAGCAACTCCTAGTACATACCATATAAGAAATATGATCGAATTTTACTAGAAAAAATTAGAAAATATCTCAATTGCACATTTTATTTGTTTGATAGTTTGATACATGACATACATTGTAAAAAGTTCAATGACCTATTTGATACATTTTCCTAAAAACAATTTCATATTCTAATATGGTGAAATTCCTTACTTTCACTATTCGAAACTATTATAATTATATATATATTTTTTTTTAACAAAATAAACGGTAGAAAAAAAATGACATATTTAGTCTCTAAATTATATATAAATTTAGTCATTTAGTTATGGTCATGTTTATTTTTTAGCCCATAATTATTCTCGGAGTTGCTGTTTTATTTGGTCCTAAGAATTTGATTTCCTCTCGTTATATGAGACAAACGTTTCCATGCAGTGTTAGTCATTTCTAATGAGTTTATTTGACAAACTTAAAGCTCTGACTTGGTGGAAAGAATTCGTACCTTTGTTCGACAGGTTAGAGCTTGAAATTTGTCACATTAATAAATCAACAATATACAAAGAGATTAACACAAGATAACGTCTTTATAGTATACACAATATAATAACTGCTAACTCTATATATGTTTAAGTTGGTTGTATATATGAAGTATGAACTGACCTGACCCTAGCTATATATGACTTTGAACAAGTTCGTTAGGTACGCTATCAATTAAATTTAAACCTTTGTTAGGTGTTGGGTCGATTCAAACGGCACGTTCACTACTTGTTTGAAATTAAAAATAACTGTACACATGCACGCCCACAAAACAATTACTTTGGCCTATAAATACGTTAGCAATTAGGTTTAATTTACAATGTAAGTTCAAACAAGCATTATATACATTGTCACCCACTCTTTGCTAGCTAGCTAGCTTGTTTATTCTCAATGGAGAACTTCCATTTTCCATTTTTCATCCTTGTGCTTGTTCTTTGTTTCCACAGCTCTTGTGGGACGTTCTTCCATGGTGGCGAAGATCCTTCCGCCCCCGGCGATTGGAAGAATGGCCACGCCACCTTCTACGGCGGTGCTGATGCTACCGGAACAATGGGTGAGTACATTACATACATACATGCATGCTTGTACGGGTAACTCAAGTGGTAGATTATAGGTAATTATATATGATTGAGACCTGTTAGTCGCAATATGATAGGCTCGTTGTAGGCACAAAACACTGGTCATTCTCACCTAAGATGTCGTTAAGTCACCCTGATTTATCTATCCACCATCATGGACCAGGGTGTGAGGTCCTCGGGCCAAGAATTTTAAACTGTATTTGTTTGATTAACACATACTATGTCAGTCAATCTTGTTCACAAAAGACAAAACTCCCTAGTCCTTAAAGTCCCACACCTCGTCCCAACAAGATAGTGAAAGGATAAATCCATCTTACTACTTGGCATTGCATGTATTGATTTGGATACCCGCATGGGTAGCTCAACTGGTCACCTCTCAAAGTGAGGGGGGCTCCTTGTGCGCAGTGAGCACCGGTCTAGCCTCTGTGATTAATGTTCAGTTGAGTCACCATGATTTACAACCTCCCACCGCTCTGTCGGACCGGAGTGTGGGGGCCCTTAGGGTTGGGGTTCAGCCTTTTGGAAGAATGTATTGATTTGGATTCCAAAGTCGATCAAAAACCCTTTTTTTTGGGCATTTTAATTTGGTACGCATGCAGGAGGAGCATGTGGATATGGAAACTTGTATAGCCAAGGTTATGGTACAAACACAGCAGCCTTAAGTACAGCATTGTTCAACAGCGGGTCGAGCTGCGGGGCATGCTACGAATTGAAGTGCAATGAAGAAGAATCAAGGGTGTGCCACCCCGGCAGCATCACCGTCACCGCCACCAACTTCTGCCCACCTAACTTTGCCTTGGCTAACAATCACGGCGGGTGGTGTAATCCTCCTCTCCAACACTTCGACTTAGCCGAGCCCGCTTTCCTTCAAATCGCTCAATACCGAGCCGGAATTGTCGCAGTTGCCTACAGAAGGTAACAGTGAATTCACTATTACCCTATAACTCAAAGATTAATACCAAGGAGGACCAGTAATAGCATATTTTCATGTAAAAGGAATGGGTCATTCCCAGAAATAAGGAATACAAATGTTTACAAAACAAATGAATAGACCTGGGAATGCTATGTCATTCCAGGCCTATTCCAAGAACCAAACAGCCCATAAAAGTGTTACAAAATCGGATTAATTTATTTTATTTTGTTGACTAGAATTGCTTGTGAGAAGAAAGGAGGAATGAGGTTCACCATCAATGGACATGCATACTTTAATCTTTTGTTGATAACAAACGTTGGGGGAGCAGGAGACATTGACTCAGTGTTCATCAAGGGGTCAAGGACAGGGTGGATGCCCATGTCAAGAAATTGGGGGCAAAATTGGGAAGCCCACTCTTATCTCAACGGTCAAAGCCTCTCTTTTCGGGTCACCGCCAGCGACGGCCGCACCGTCACCAATTTGGACGTCGCTCCGCCGGACTGGCAATTTGGTCAAACTTTTGAAGGTGGTCAGTTTTAAGAAGAATAATGTAACATGGACATGGCTCATGTCTTTATCCATCAAATATTATATTGTTTTTCAAATGGAAAAGACAGATGAAAATACTCTATTATTTTTCCTTTTTTGTTTAATTGGTATTATTGTTTACTAGTATTAAGTGTGTGCAAAAATTGAATAATAAATAGCTTAAGTAGACCTATGGGAGGAATGGTTAAGCTATTTCTACTTCTGTTTTCAGTTTTCTCTAATTTTTTTCACATGTTTTTTTTCTGCTGTCTAAACTGTCCTTTTGGTCAAACCCGTCACATAGAGTCTTTGTAATGCAGTTTAATTCATATGTAAGATTTGTAAAGTATTACGCAAAAATATGATTTATCCAAGACAGATAGTGATTCCGAATTTTTCTCGTCACTCAAAATAAAAATTAAAGTAGGAAAAGTTAATCTTTTAAAGAGCAAGTTGTGAGAAGCAAATGCAAGCATTTAGGGGTTGAGCGACTTTGGTGTGTTGACAGTTGCCAGCTTAGGATGCCTTAAATTGTTATAACTCCACTGCCATATGTAATAAAGTCTTTATTGTTGTGTCATAAATTAACTTAATGATATTGAAGTTAACTTATAAATTTTTATTTTTTTTATTTAAAGTATTTTGTTTGATTCACATTTGAAACATTAATTTGTGATTAAAATTTTGCACACCTAACCCAAGGCAAAGCGGTCTGGGCTAGTAAAACTCAGCCCCACCAAGGAGCAGACTTTTTGGCCCGGCCCACCTAGCCCGTAGCTGGTGAACTTAACCCGTATTAAGAGCATCAATATTTGTGATTTGTTGGGAGTTTATGTCAAAGAAAGAAGCCAAGTAAACAGAGAGAAGCAAGAGAGAGAATCTTAAGGTTCCTCTACAAGAGAGGAAATAATGGTAAAAAGTGAGTCCCATTGGAAAATGAGGCTAGCCGTATCAGACATTTGTGCGCGGCCCGAGTGCACCCAATGGGCGCGTGCATTGGGCGCCTAACAGTGACCGTTTTTTTTTTTAAATCAGTTTTGTTTTATTTTTTTCTCTCACTCTCATATTCTCTTTCCTAATCACACTTACAAAAACTCCTCAAAGACCACAAAATATCCCTACTATTATGGATGCTCTAACAGCTCTACCAATAACAAAGGTAAAAGGGCATCAAATATGCCATTTTTTCCACCAAAAAACTCACACACACTCTTAAGTAGTCTATTTTGGCAAAAACCATTTTGCAGCATATACTAGAAATAAATTTATACATGAAAACCCAACTAGAAGGTATAAACCAAAACTCATCAAACAGATACAATTCACATTTATGAAGGTAAAAAAGGGAGGCCAATATACACCAAAACACTGCCCAACTACATTAATCATGGAGGGGATGCTTCTGCTGCTGCATTTGAGTTATACCTAATAATTAAGCAAAGAATACTTCAGTCTCAAAACAATTTTCCCCTTCTCCACGCTCAGTTTTCCGCCTGTCACCAACCAATGCCCCGGAGGATCTTGCCCTCCCTTGCACATCTCGGTCATATCAACGAATTTCGCCAGCTTATTGCCGGCTGTGTGCTCCCCCGAATCCACGCTCGTATCCCCGGGGCTGGGACTAGCAGTTTGTTTCTTCGACTTATCAGTCGGGGCGTGGTCCCACAATGATCTCCGGATGGTGCATCCTGGTACCCTCGAGTACAGGAGCTTCATGTATAAGACGTTTCTTGACCCGAAATCCCACACCCCGAGCTGTGCCCCGGTGACTATGTACACACCGGAGAGGTCGCCTATGAATGTCTCGGGGCTGTCTATGGGTGCGGTGCTCACGTGCGAGAAGTTCTTCCATTTCACGGGCTCAAACCATCTGCTATCTTGTTCCTCTGGTCCTTGCCACTTTGGTGCACCGATAGCCATGTGGGAGTCCCAGTACGGCTGAAGGATCCTAGGAAGAGATTGCAGATGTTGAAGATGGATGCTCAATCGGTTCTTCTTCACCCCTTCCAGAGTTAGCCGCATGCCCGTCACCGGCTTACGCCCAACTGAAATCTGAGAGTTAAACCAAGAAAATATTTTAGATCAATAATGGCTCCTGTTGAGCATATAATCATTAATGTGCAATCCAACTATAAGCTTAGGCTTTTAGTTGAGATGGAGCACATGCTTCAATTTTGGTATCAGAGCCAGACCAAAGGTCATGGGTTCGAATCTCTACGTCACCCACCACACACGTGAGGGGGCGGGGGGCGTGTTGAGCATATAACCATTACATGTAAATGGGCACGGAAGAAATAACATTTTCAAGATTGTAAATTGTGAACGGGCACCTGCTCTTGGCTGACGAAAAGCTTTTGCCCCATCATGCTAAACTGCAATGACGGGCAAACAGGTTCCTTTCTTTGTTGGCCGGGATGTCTGTCCTGAAGAGGTGCCCAAATTCGAGGGACCTGAAACTCCAGGAAATATCTCAGCTCTTCAAGTTGAGGCTTGTCTGCAAACAACGATATCAGAATAAATAGCCGCCAATGTAACAGTTGCTTAGTGTTTCGATGGAATAAAAAAGGGGGAGAACGGACTTCTGTGTTACAATATCCTTACATTCAAGATAGAGACTTATAGCACGAGACAAATGCTCCTTTCCTTTAACTCCCTCGAGGAGCATTGTAATCGGATAGAATGACATCTCGATGACATCGGGTGAAGACTTGACTGTTTTTGCCCAATGAACGTGGCTTTGCTCCAGATCGTCTCCTCCCCTTCTTCTGAAAATGACTGTAACGTCCTGCATTAGATCCATCAAAAAATTTCAGGCCTAACAGCAGGAAAGAAACTTTTAGTTTCCATTAAGTCACTGCACTTAGTTAATAACATAATTATATACCAAGTCACATGCATTTCGTTTTTTGTTGTCAGACCACGAGGTGTCCTGAGCAGGTCCTAACTGTAGGAGACACCTTTAAGCCCGTACCATACTCAACTAATCCCCGTTCGCACCGGGCCGGCCCAATTAAGGGGCAAAGTGATGGCCAGATTGGTTTTTACATACGAGAGGGGATTCGAACTGCCGATCTCTCTTAATGGACGAGTTCACATGCATTTCGTTAATATGGAGAAACATCATATATTCATATGAATGGTTTTATCTTCTTTTCTTCTTTTTAAATACATTAGGTATCCCAGCTTACGCCAGACTAATCTTAAGCCCCCAGAGCCCCTGCCCAACATTACGTAAATCACGAGTTGCCCCATTAGTCCCCGGGTTCCGACCCCTAGCTATACACCTTGTGCACAGGGAGTCTTCATCATCTCTGATCGGTCAAGGTCTCCCAATGACCCCCCAGGTTCCCAGTGAAATTCGAACCCCCACACTACCGCTAGAGCAAGACTTTAGGATGAATGATGTTCTTCATTAAAAAAATTCTTACATGTATTCATTTGGATTATACGTTATACCCTATATGAGAAATGAAAAAAAAAAAGAAAAAAAAAAATCTGAATACCTCTTTGCCATTCCCAGCAAGAAACGGAGCACTAGTGGGTTGAGGGTATATCCCTTGACTATTGAACAAGGATGGATCACTACCCTGAAAAATTGAACTAGCAAGAAAGCGTAAGCAGATAAATCATAAATACGCTAAAGAGTGATAAGAGAAGGAAAAAAAATTGCCGAAGGGAAAAAAGGTACAAGTGAACTAGCCTTATCCTTGTACTTCAATAATCCCGAGCTTGTAAGGCTCTCTATGCTGGAAAACCTCTGGTTTCCAATATCTTGAACATAATTCTTAATCTCTACCGTAGATAGAGGGGACGAGAGATGCTGCTTAACGTAAATCACATCTTTACCACCAATAGTTATGGATGTAATAACATGCGTCCCAAAATTTTCTATGAAACTGAAAGAGTATAAAATTGTTAGTAAAATACGTGCTGCAACACAGTAATTTACAAGAATATTTGGCACGTCCTAACCTTGCCAACGCGGGTGGGTCCCATGATGTCGGCACCGCTCTTTTAACATTTTCTTGCAACACCAGAGGCATTTTCATCAGCTGAACTTTAGCAAGCGGAATGAAAAAGCCATCCATACAAAGGGTCTTTGTGGCGGCAGCATCTGTTTGCTTTGAACCGGTAAAACTGAATGCAGCATTGAAGCTGCCAAGAGGAGCATGGCCCGGTAGATTGGCCTTTCTATTGAAAAACTCCACCATCTACATTAAATTTATATGTCAAGCAAGTTATAGTTAGTATGCACCTAAAATCCTAAATAATAATAATAATTAGAATTAGCCAATGCTAAGTTCAACGCTTTTATGCAGCACAGACACATGAATGAGCTATCAACCTCGCTCCCGGCCCCGACTCTTCACAGCCATGGCCAAAGTATCATCTCCAATTGCAAAGCTGAATACACTCTCAAGCCACCGTGTTAAAAAAATATCCTTTCCACTCTCCTAAGTCCTAACTTTTTATTTTTTTTGGGTATACCCAGGCTTTCTACCGTCGAACACAGTGACTAATCCCCTCGCTGAATTGTAGGCACCTCTTTTGAGTGGGACAGCTGGCATGGAGATTTAAGGCTGCTCCATTCCCAAAGCCAAGGATCGAACCGTTAACCTTTGATTAAGGATGAATGAGTCCCTTCCACTCAACCACACCCTCCAGGTTCTCCTAAGTCCTAACTCAGCAACAGTTAACCACATAATCCTATCCTTGAACATCATGTTCCAATCTCTGCAAAGTCATATCACGGTTTATATATTACTCCACTTCTTATTTTCAATTTCCCTTTGACTGATTTAAGGCCATATATTTACATAGAACTGTTTCTCATATAAGGAACAAATAACTTTTCACTACCTCCAACAGCTCCACATTCAAATCAATGCACAATTCAAGAGCCACTAGTTTCTAATTTAAAACTAGAATACAGAACACAATGATAACAATACACAAATGAAGCTCAAATTAGAAGACAAGAATTTTAGGCAAACATACCTCATTATAGCTGCAGACACCCGAGCCATCACGCCCACCGATTTCTGGGGAATTCACTACATCCCTTGAGACATTTGGCACCACTATATCACCATACAAGCAAAGATCCTTTGTGTGCTCTTCATCAATCTCAACAACCCTAGACCCAGCCACTCCCTTACAGTAAAGCAATCTTGTATCATAATTCACATCAAAACCCCTTCCCAATGCCTGCACTGCATTTATGGCAGTATGCAAAGCCGCTTCCTTTTCCTCCATATCATCACCTCCCCCACCCAGCCCCAAACCCCAGTGCCCAAAAAATTAAACAAAAATTCCTCCTTATTCTTTAATTACAAATGCCAAGCAGAAATCCAATTCCAAGCAAAGAGCAATCACCACATAGCAAATATATTCAGATAAACTTAACCCAAATCAAACGCTAACCCTATCTTGCTCTACCACAATACTTTTACCAAATCAAGAGTAAAGATTCAATCTTTTTCAGATCAGATAACCCCCAAAGCTACAAATTCCATTACCCTAATCTCAAAACTCTCTAAAGGTTGACCATAAGAAATTACCCAGAAAGATTTGAACCGATACTTCAGCTAAGAACAGATCTTGAATCTTCCAACTCAGAACTTCAGATTTCCTATCTCCTTTCCCCCTCTCTCTCTATATATATATCTATCTACAATCTATACATGTGTATATCTGATGCCTCTCCTCTCCCTCCCCCCTGTGTTCCTTTACTGTGCACTGCTATTCAAAGTGCCATTGACTCCTGACTTGTATTTACTGTTTCTCCCCTGCGGAAAAAAAACACACGTGGTTTACCCGATCGTGCACTCGCTTCCCATCTCGACCGTTGGTCTGTTCCGGGTGAAGGGTTGATGAAATCGTACGGCTGGAAGAGAAAGTGAGAGGGTACACGTCAATAGATTTGACTTTACCATTTTCTGATGGGATTTGAGATCAGCAAAGGAAAAGGTGCTTTTCTGTCAGATTACCCATTTTTAATTATATAAAAATAAATTAGATAGATTTTGTGCTATTTATTTTTAGAAAATCCTTTCTAAATTTAAAAATTAAAAGATATTTTTTTAAAAAATACAAACCTTTCCTTTTCAATGATTGTATGATATAAATAATTCAGTGAAATATTAATCCATATATATATATATATATATATATATATATATATATATATATATATATATATATATTTAAATCTTTTATTTTATAAAAGATATGAATTTAAAAATAAAATTAATTTGATACATGAATAATATATAAATAAAATGGGACAAGAGGTGTGTTTTTTATTTTACTCATAAAAATTAATAACTTTTTAAAGTTATGATTATTTGTGATATTATTTTTTAAACAAAAGCATTATTTGAATAAATTTGTTGTGATGAAGAAAATATTATACTCCATATGTGTTATATATTTGGTGTAGTTTCATCTCATTATGTACAAAAATATAATAATAATGAAAATATAAAACTTAAAAAGGAAAATTGTATTTTTAGTTACTCGATTATATTATGAGTTGTTTTAGCCCCTGAAGTATATAACAGCACCTTTGGTTCACAAAATGAATTTTGAGGTAATAGGAATGCTATTCCACAAGGAATGGAATAGGCAAGGAATAGAATAAGAATTGTATTTTATTGTTTAGCTCGCGGAAGGAATAGACTTTAGGAATTATATTACAATATTTGGTTGGTTTAAGTAATAGAATGAAATATGTTTCAAAAGACATAAATACCCTTATAAAAATATATGGTGGTGTTGGTGGCAGTGGCGGTAGCAGTGGCGGCGGTGGTTGTGGTGGCCGCGATGGTTATGGTGGCGGTGGTGGGGTGGTAGTGGAGACGGCGGCAGTGGTGGCGGTGGTAGGGTATTTTCGGTATTATAATACTAAAGCTATTCCCAAATACTTGGAAATAACTAATACTAGGGGGTCCCCTAGGAATGGCTATTCCCTCTGCAAAGGGAATAGCTCATTCATAGGAACGCTATTCCCTTGAATAAAATGACAAAACAAACAATAGAATAGGTGTATTTCCGGGAACAGAATTCCATTGCCGACCTATTCCATGAACCAAACACGCCATAAGTGTTTTAGCTCGCATTAGCAGCTCAACTAGTTGCAATTGAGAAATGTCACAAGAGACCAAGGATTAAATTTTACTAGCGGTAGTGTAGTAGTAACTTTTTGAAATGAGTAGGACTCTTTGTGCGCAATGAACAAAAGTCTAGCCTTTGTTGGTCAGTTGAGCTGTGGAGGAACCTGAGACGAACAATTCCACCTTTTGTCACATGTATATAAATGTTTTAATTAGTAATTTATTATCTTTCTTCCTTATAACTTCTTCAGTTTTGGTATTTCATTATAAAATTATGCAACCTTTTTTCTTGATATTTTTCTTATTTAATTATGGTACATTGTACGTATTTTTTCCTATATGAAGATGTTAAAATTAAGTTCTTTATTTTACAAATAAAATATCGACACTAAAAGAGTGGTATAATTATATATAAAAAAAAACATAAAAATTATTAAAATAATTATGTACTAAATAGAATGTTAATAGATAGGTTGTTAACAAACCGAACACGAATGAATACAGGTTGTTCGTGTTCGTTTTTTAAGATTCTTAAAGTGTTTATATTTGTGTTTTTTTTTTTTTTTTTTTTTTTTTTTGAAACAAAGAAGCAGCTTTCATTAACAACGTAAAACATCAACAATACAAGTAGGTGGGATCATATTCCACTCCCCGGAGACAGCCTCCGAAACAGTCGCTCGAGCAAGCTCGTGAGCTACACGGTTCGCTGTTCTCTTAGCATGGACCACTTTTACAGAGCCCATATCAGTAGCAATCGATAAGCATTGCTTTACAATAAGACCTACGTAGGAAAGATTAACATTGCATGAATTAAAAGCATTACAAAAGTTTAAACAGTCCGATTCCAAAAACCAGTTTGCCTGGCCTTGCGTCTTCATCCATGAGAGTGCCTCTTTGGCAGCAAGAACCTCAGCTAGAAACGGATCATCAATCCCCTCCAACCAGCCACTCTTCGCAGCAATGAGGGTGCCACCATGGTCACGTATTACCGCCCCAAAACTGGCGCCGGTGTCGAAAGTAGCCGCGTCAACATTACACTTCATGGCTCCGTGTGGAGGTGGTGTCCATCTCTCGGGTTCAGTAGTGCGGCAAGAAGGACGTTGCACCGGAGCGTAAGTTACCATCCAGGTTGTTTGGGAGTGCAAAATACGCTTGTAGGCCTCCTCCACGGACACAGCACTGTCATGCCAAACAATTTCGTTCCGGATACACCAGGTGGTCCAGAAAACGGTCGCTAACTTCACAGCCTCGATCGTATTTGAGGTACCTATTGTTTCGTCCATGAAAGTCAGACAGCTCCTCCCTTGTAACACGTCATTGGTCCCCCACGCACGACATGCGATCAGACACTCACATAGCAGATGTTCCATTGTCTCTGTAGTATGACCGCAAATCGGGCAGCCACCACCTATCCATACATTTTTTCGGTGTAGATTCTCTCGTACGGGTAGTATGTTTCTCGCACAACGCCACAAAAAATTTTTAACTTTAGGTGGGATTGGTAACCCCCATAATTTGTTCCACGAGCGGAAGTCAGTCAGCCCTGTGGCCTCAGGTTCGGCATGCATCAGTAAATCATATCCGTGTCGCACCGTGTACCTTCCCTGAATGTCCCCCAGCCACCGCCAATTGTCGCTAACATGGGTGTTGATCGGTGTTGAGAGAATACGTCTTACGTCCACATCCAGAAATATGTCGCGTACAATATCCACATCCCATCGTCCATGAGCGTCAAAGAGGCCCCTAACTCTAGCCTCCCGGAGGTGTTCTGCGCATGGTGTGTGTAGCGGTTCATTATTAGTTCCGGCCAACCAATTCCAGCCCCAGATTTTCGTGTCCAGGCCATTTCCGATACGTCGCGCAATGCCCAACCTTAGCACTTGTTGGCCAGCCATGATGCTGCGCCATATATAACTCGGGTTTTTGCCTATTTGTGCACTCATAAAGTCAGTGGTGGGATAGTACTTTGCCTTTAGTATGCGGCTAGTCAAAGAATCTGGATAAATTAAAAACCGCCAACATTGTTTAGCCAATAAAGCTAGATTGAACTCGTGCAATCTCTTGAACCCCATACCACCTTCCGCTTTCGATTTGCACATCCGGGCCCAGCTCAACCAGTGTATACCTCGGCTTCCCGTCCCTCCACCTCCCCACCAGAAGCGGTTGAATAATTTTTCTAGCGTGTCACAAACACGTAAGGGGAGTAAGAAGGATGACATGGTAAAGATCGGGAGTGCCTGGGCTATACTTTTGAGAAGAACTTCCTTACCTGCACGGGATAGGAACTTGTGCATCCAAATGCCAATACGGGTTCGTACACTCTCCTCAATATACTTGAACGTGGCAGATTTGTTGCGCCCTAGGAAAGAGGGAAGGCCCAAGTAGCGCCCCAGATCGGTAGCGGCACGAACACCCATGTATTCGGAAACTGACGTTCGCACATCGGCTGACGTATTAAGACTGTACACTGCACTGGATTTCTCATAATTAATAAGTTGACCTGAAGCCGACAGTATAAGTCTAAGCACTCCTTAATTCTCGTAGCTTCGTGCTGTGTAGCCCTGAAAAATAATAAGCTGTCATCAGCGAAGAAAAGGTGAGTGATAGTCGGGGCCCCCCGCGCTACCCTCACCCCGTGAATATCACCCCGACTCTCAGCTTGTTGCAAAAGGATAGACAAGCCTTCAGCACACAGAATGAATAGATAAGGCGACAGTGGGTCGCCTTGGCGTATACCCCGGGTGGGACACACCTGGCCCACAATCTCCCCATTTACAAGAATAGCATAGCGCACCGTGGTAACACACAACATTATAAGCTCTGTCCACCTCCTGTCAAACCCCAACGCCCCCATCATACCTTCCAAGAAGGCCCACTCCATCCTGTTTATATTTGTGTTTGTTTGTTAAGGTTTTTAAAAATTTTGATCGTGTTCATTTGTTATGCATTCATTAGTGTTTATTAATGTTCGCAAACACGTTCACAATCGTGTTCGTTAACGTTAGCGAACGCATTCACGAACACTAAACAAACAAACACATCTACATATTCATGAACAACCTTAAATGAACACTAAACGAGCATGTTCATGACCATTATTAAATGAACACCAAACGAGTTTGTTCATGAACATTATTAAACGAACACCAATGAATGCGTCCACGAACTCTTAGTAAATGAGCATAAAAAGTTCATACTCTGCTCGTTTATTAAATCAGCTCTAAAATTTGTTCATTTATGTCCATTTAACGCTTATCAAACACAAATACGAATAGTTTATCGAAAATTCTGTTTGGTAACACCTCTACTAATAGAGTTTCACTATTTTGTTGCTTCATGTACTAAAATTGTAACTTTTTTAAAAAGTTAAATATGTATATTGCAACGAGAGTCTAAATTGACTAGCTAGTATAAATCACAATGAAATTGATAAGATAGTTTGAGAGTTGTATGTCTTCTCAATTTGAGCCGACTTGCTATGAAAAACTTAGGTAGCAACAAACAAGTTTTATTCCTTGCAGGAAAAAAAAAAAGTTTTAAATTATTAGCATTATTTAATTATTTTCAGAATGTTAACTTAACAAGAAACTCCATATTAAATCATTTGGCCTTTAAAAAATGTGAACATCATATAATATATATAAAATTATTGTAAAGAATATCTTATTATAATTGTCACAATAAACTTCACATTTAAAAATGATTTCATGTCACAATATATTCTATATTTTTTAAATGTTCAGATGCATAGAAGTCTTCGCTAGTCATTGATGCAACCGTTGACCTGACTAAATCCATTAAGACTTGATCAAAACTCAAAAGGGAATGGACGATAGACTCCTTGCATCTTCTTCCCTCATTTATTAATTAGCTTGATTTTTTTGCTAGAGAATTAATCTTTGACTATTTTAAGAGGAATTCGGAGATCCTTGTTTTTTTGTGGCAATTCCAAATTTAGTCCCAGACTATCGTTTTTACTATTTTACATCTCAAACTATTATTTTTTGGACACTTTTAGTCCTTCTCATGATTTTTTTAATTTTTAGTAAGGGCATTTTTGTCTCTTCATATTTTTCTTTTGTTATTTTTTCGGTTTCAACCAATTTAATTGGTTTAGAACTTTAGGTAACCTCTTATTTTTAGTAACCATATTTTTCAACCAATTTTTAATAAAGTCCTAACCAATTAAACTGGTTGAAATCAGAAAAATAACAAAAGAAAACATGAAGAGACAAAAATGCCCTTACTAAAAATAGAAAAAATCATGAGAAGAACTAAAAGTATCCAAAAAACGATAGTCAGGAATGTAAAATGGCAAAAACGATAGTCTGGAATGTAAAATGGCAAAAACGATAGTCTGAAACTAAATTTGAAACTGTCACCAAAGACAAGGGACCTCCGGTGGAATTAACTCTTATTTTAACTAAGTGTGTTTGGTTCATGGGTTTACACATAATCAAAATCATAGTTATTGTTTGGTTGATAATTTTTTTAAAATACATGTGACTTGATTACCACTCCAATTAAAAATTGCATTCCCTAATTAAAATTAAAAACATGTATCATTTCATCTTATCCCTCCTCATTTGTCCGATCAGTCACCTTCACACTACATCCTTCATATTTTTATTTTTATTTTTTGTTCCTATTGGTGCTATGAACGTCATTATATTAAGATCAATTACCTTGATTTTTTGTTTTTGTATTTTTTAAACTTTATTTTCATTATAAGATATACATAACCAAACATTAATATTGGTAACCATACCAATTCCACCCACCATACCACCAAAATTCACTACGATTATCAAATATTTGATTCCAATTCCAATTCTGATTCCCATATGTAAACTAAACACACCCTAAATTTAGTTTTATCATTATATATATATATATATATATATATATATATATATATATATATATATTGGTGATGAAAATAACCCGCAACTATTACCTGATAATATATTTTAGTTATCAATAATTTACTAACTCAAATCAAGAATGTAAATATATCACTCCCATTGAGAATTGAACTTTAAATTTTATTGTACTAAACTAATAGACCAACTAAGGTTACACATTTTATCATGTTAAACTTTGATTAAAGTCGAAAACACACCCACCATCCCATCCATTAGCCATAGATTATTTCAGTGATTAAATTAAGCATGACAAGAGGGCACGGTTGACTAGCCCACCATGTGTAAACGGCCGGCGTTTACCGGAGCTTCACCAGTCAACCTTTAGAAACAGAAGCCGGTGGCATACAAAATTAATGGATAAGAAACAACATTAAAAAAGGACAAAAGTTTGGATATGAACATAGTATCATTTGGAACACGTTCCTTTACAATTTAGGTTGTCACCTAAACAAAACATCTCTTAAGGTACCCTTTCCTTTAGATCATTTTATTTGTCAATACGATGATTCTCCAGAACATAGCCTTCCCGCGCTATGTTGTTTCATCATCTCCTGCCTGCACCATTGTAAGGCGGCTGCCAAGCTTCGTTCGCATCTGCCCATGCCTGGAAGGCGGGATAGAGGGGCGCCCTTTTGCGGTTATTTCCAGATCGATCACTGTGAGTTTTTGGCCTTCTTTGCAGCGAAAAGTTGGCGAAGAAAGGAGAATTTTCCTTTTGCTCTTGAGGAGAACTCCACTATGGAGTCGTTGCTAGCCATTGCCTCCTCAGCGGTGTCTGGGGCTGGCGATGGGGTTGGCGGGGATGGGAGCGTGAGCAGATATTCGTTGAGCATCCGAATAATTTGACTAAAGCTTGGCCGCATATTAGGGTCCTCAACCCACGATGACTGCATGATGAACGCCAAATCAGGTGAAATCTCTTCCGGGAGTATAACAGGTCTCTCTTGCTGCATTTCCACATCAAAACAACACCAATACTAGTTAGATTTTAACTCTCTCGAGAAATAAATGTTCAAGAACAGATATTCGATAACAGGCCATTGAAATTGTCAAACTCTTAAAGGATCACTTTCAATCATTAGTATATAAATCGATATTGCAATACAGTACAAAACAAACACAACTATAGAACGGTTTAAAATAACCATATATATAATACTATATTTTGTTTATTACTCTACCAATGTTATTAGGGATGACAATAGGTATGTACTCGTCTGTCTAGTCATTTTCAAATGTGAATCTAAATACATATAGAACTACCTGAATACGAATGAATATTACATGTACCCGCTCCAAACACGATTGACAATACTAATATACTATATAGTACTTGAAATCATTAATCATCTCCAAACCTATTACACACATACACACAATTGGATATACAGATTTCACTACTACCTAAACCGGTTTCAGACCTAACTATCAACTATCCAAACCCGTCCTATTAGCGTTCTACAAGTTAGGCACCTAGTAGAAGAAAGCAAAAATGCAGCCCAAAATTCCATGTGTACCTTAAACGCAGCAGCATAAGCAGCCTGCAAATTCGACATTCCCTCAAATGGCATGCGGTTTGTTAGCAATTCCCACAGGACGATCCCAAAGCTATATACATCAACCTTATTATTGTAATGCTTTTTCTCCCCTTGACGCAGAGTCACAGTGCTGTACAGCTGCAGAATTCCATTCAGATTAACAGCAAAAAAATTTTAAAAAAAATAAAAGATAAATAAACACTTGCGAATTAAATCAATTTTCAGTGCAAGTGTTACCGACATAAACATCAATACATCATAAAACTGTCAAAAATATGTGTGCAATAAGTTAATGGACGTTAAACACAAGCAACAACCCTTATGCAAATGTATTCTTAGACAAGTATTGTGTTGGAAATCATGAAAATTGTATATGGTTAGCATGAAAAGTGAACACGAAAACTTCAGTATCCGGCTTCCGAAATAATTTCTGCAAAGTAAGGGTCCAAACCTCGGGTGCCATCCATCTGTATGTCCCAGTTTCCGCTGTCATCATTTCAGTGAGAGTCTCTTCCCTTGCAAGCCCAAAATCTGCAAGCTTTACAGACTTCTGATTGGCTGTGAGCAACAAGTTGTCTGCAAAACGAAATTTTAACATAAGCCTCTTTCAGAGAGAAAAACACCCGAAAGCAAAAACATAGAAAGGGGAAAGATCAAATCCTAGTACAATGTAAACAATGAAAACAAGGACTTAAGGTTCCTTGCATCGGCATAAGGAAGAAACAAGAACAAATTTGCACCAAGTTAGCAGCTTTTTTGGGGGGGCAAACATTTAAACAATAAATAAATAAAAAAGACCTCCAAGTTGGTACTTGCATGTGCTGGACTAATTATTGAAAAGCAAGAAAACCTTGGAGAAAAACAGTTTCAAATATAATTTCTTGACAAATAACAATTAAATGGTCTACATTGATCATTTCTCAAACATTTAATCGAATGACAATTACAAGAATCAATAAAATTCTTGTACAGCTCATCTAGCTGTTTGGTACCAGGTTTAAGGTCTCTATGTATAATCCCATTAGCATGTAAACACTCCAGGGCTCTAGCAATGTCAACAGCGAAGCTTAATGCCACATGAAGGTCCAGCTTTTCTGGCCGAAGACTGTTTAAATACTTTCGAAGTGACATTCCTGGTAGCAGCTCCGTCACAATAACCATCAAAGGATCCTTACAAGCTCCAATAAACTGCCAAAAAAAACCCCAAAAAAAGATAATTTATGGATGATGGCAGGCAAGAGAATCTAGAAAGTCATATAAAATAAGCAACTCAAGAGCATCAAAAGCCACATATATATGAATATTCATTTCAAACCCAACACCAAACTAATAGATTGGCAATAACTAAGGTAAAAATTGCATTTTGACTACATGATAGAAAACCATAAGCACATCAAGATAGAAAGACCTTAGACAAATTAAGAGTGACACTCACCTTCACAAGGTTGTCATGCTTTACCTTTGACATCATTGCTACTTCCCTCACAAAACGGCTTTCTAGTGCAGCCCTTTCTTCGGTAGTATCCCCACGCTTAAGAACTTTTATCGCAACAATTTGATCCCCATACCTAAGAACAAAATCATAGTTGTAGGTTAGGCAACTAGGACATCATACAAACACTGAGAAACCTAAAGAACAGACTTCAATGTCCACCAAAAGCCAGGGGAAATAGCCTGTGCAGTAATATATTTCCAAGGAAAATCTGACAAATAACTTCATCTTCTCAAGAAATCCAATGAAATAGTATTCTACACATTAGTATTATCCACCCCAACAATCATCCATTGATAAAATATACTATGCAATATTTTGGTGAGAGATTAAGGATGATAAGCACCAGTGAGAGACTCAATACAATTGAAGCACTCACAATGGGAATGATTGATTGTAGATTAGACACACCTTCCTTGGTAGACTTTCCCATGAGCTCCTTCGCCAATCTTTGATCCAATAAAGATGAGTCTTGGGTCAACCAGAACTCTCTCATCAATACACAGTTGCTGGGAAGCTATGATCGATCCATTCAAAGATAACCCATCAACAGATACCCGTGCACCAAAACTCCTGTCATATTCTCCTTCCTCTTCTCCTCCTCTGTTCTTCTCACTGCCGCAACTCATCGTCCGAAAGCCTAATTAGATTATCCCAGACTCCCTCATACTCAACACCACATACCAAAAAATTAAAACCCCGCCCAACTCTCCCAAACCCAAATTATTGGCCAAAATCCATTCTTTCCATACCCGATAAATCGGTACTACTACCTTCTCAGCTTACCAAATAGATTCCTAATAGAATAAAAAACTCGAATACCCATATCCAGAATCACCAGACGAGAAAAGGGGGGAAATTTTTTCCACCGATTGATTAATCAACCAAGAAAAATTATGTACCAAGCACCCAAACACTGTTCAGTAATTAGATAGAAACTCCGGAAAACCCCTAAAAATATCTTTCCAAAGTTTGAGCCTTTCCATGACTTTGAGTTTGAAACTTCAACGGGAACTCGAGCCTGGGAAACCGTGCGGATAGAAAACAAACAAAATAAAGCAGGAACCTCGAGAGAAGCGAGATGGCAAGAGATATCAGATAAGAGAGACGAAAGTAAAGAGATTCCGGGTTGCAAGTACTAAAAATAGACTGTACATACACACACACACACAATTCTCATGCATATGAATACAGGAAAGGCTAAAACCTAACCCGGTAACCCATCAAGACCACAACTTTGCACTTTACTTTCTTTTCTGTGTCTGGGAGTGGGGGGCATACCAGGTGACTAGGTGGTTGGGTGTGTGTAATTGTGTATCTCTCTCTCTCTCTCTCTCTCTCTCTCTTCGCCTAAAAAGATACATACATAGGGGTGTGGGTATATATGTAGAGGGAATTTTATACGAGGAAATGACGGTGAGAGAGGATATTCGCCGTAGAGCGACGGTGTGGGCGGGCGAGGACGATGGGGTTTAAAGTGGGGGAGAGAAAAAAAAAACAAAAAAGGGGGAAATAAAGAACACGTTTTAAAGTGCAGGAAAGGGGAACGAATGATAGGAAGACACGTGGAGAGCAGGAAAGTCTTCTGTGGGTCATCGGCGATTTGGAAGTCCTCGGTCCACGATGCTTTGGCGATCGCGTTCCTGTACGGACGGAGTTGTCTTTCATTTTTTATCCTTGAAATAATGATCAAATATGCTATCAAACTAGGCGAATAATACAATTACTTCACTGAAGCTTAAAAAATTACAATTGAATTTTTAAATTAACTCATTTTATGCAATTCATCTAATTTATAAATTTTTCTGATTTCTAATAGGTAATCTAAATTTAAAATATTTTTTAAAAAATAATTATTAAAAAAAAAAAAAGATCTCCTCCCCCGGCTATGGAGACGGAAGTGGTCAGAGACGAAGATACCTTCTTTGTCTCTGGTAGAGACAAAGCTTTTTTAATTTAATTTATTTTATTTTTAAAAAATATTTTAAATTTGGGTGACATGCATGTTAGACATTGAGAAAACTTGTAAATTTGACGAATTACATGAGGTTAGTTTAAATATTCAATTGTAGTTTTTTTAAATTTAATGACATAATCGAATTATCGTGTGCACTTCAATTTCATATTTTACCCTTATTCCTTTATTCTTTTATCTTGCTTATTTTCTCCGAGATTAATGATTTAATATATATATCTTCTTATGCTACTAGCAATTGCACACACTTTGCACAACGCCAACCCTAAGTATGCAAACTATGTCCGACGGCATTATTGACTTAATGGATAAACAGTATTTTTTAAAATTACTTTTAGCAACATGTTAGGATTTGATTCTTGTCATTAACATTGGTGGTTTAGATTTGAATTGAGCTTTTTATGCAGGTGACTCAATTTACCTCTTCAAGGTATAAGAGATATGAAAACTTTTCTAAATAACAAAACTCTTCGACGATATGTGTGAACACATGGGTGAAGACAATGTTTAAAAATCCATAGATGATGACACTACTTCAAAATTAAAGAGATATGGAGACTTTTTCTATGGGATGATGTCAAATAAATAATCCATGGATGTGGATATTACTTGATAAGAAATATGGAGATTTTCCTAAGAGACAACGTTAATAACAAATGTCAAAAACTACTTTGATGACATATATCAAAGACCCCTCCTAAAATAGGTGTCAAAGAACACATTCAAGAAAAATGTGTTAAAAATCCTTTCAAAGATTGAAAATACAGTGTCGAAAAATTCCTCCAATAATTATAAGAGTTTCAAAAATCTAAATAAATTAAGGTGTCAAAAAACCCCTTTGAAGACAAGTGGCAAGGAATTGTTATATTAATATTAATTAATAAATTATATGGAGTAAATCATTATCATATAAATCTTTTCTCTTTTTATTTATTTATTTATTTTTTGTATTTTCTTTTCTCTTTTTATTCGCAAAATTGTTTGGTATTTAAGTTTTATTTTTCTCATCTTTTGGTACATGGTTATTTCTTTTGTCATTTTTTTGCCCTTCCGATTTCCAAATACTAATTCAATGAAAATTTGAATTGTGATTGGATTCTATCTAGTAAAGAACTACAAGCAGTTATCTAAGTTACTCATAGTTTATTGGCGAAAATCAAGAAAATTAATAAACATCTCTCATAAGTCTTGAAACTTTGTGATTATTTTAAATTACTATAAATATAAAAAAACTCGATATGACAATGTTTTTCCTTCTTCTTTTTTTTTTTTTTGTTTTTTGTTTTTATACATTATCTAAACTGATTGGATAACAAAATTTAAAATTAAATTTATTATTTAAAGAAGATGTAACTTATTAACTACACTTAAATGTCCAACGTGCTACCTGCCTAAATCTACTTCTCTGCATATGGTTTGAATATGGCTATGTTGCGATATGAACACTAATATTTTGATAGTTTAATTTTGAAGTAAGGATTTTGTGAATTAAAGTTTAACGTTTGTTTTCACACTAACAACCTATTGTTGAATTAGAATTGTTGAATAAAATAATATAAAAGTAAGTAAGATATTCTCATTCATCATCTGTTTTTACATATTACAACAATAAATAAATAAATAAATAAATATATATATATATATATATATATATATATATATATATATATATATATATATATATATATATATATATATATATATATATATATATATATATTTTGTAACGGAAAGCATTAATGATAAACATAAATATTTAACCGTTACACAATCAATCTTTATATATGTTTATTGTGTAACGGTCAAATATTTATGTTTATCATTAATGCTTTCAGTTACAAATATATATAGGGAAAATGACACTTTTTCCTCCTGAATTATATATCTATAGCATTTTTTCCCCTTAAATTATTTAGGTAAGCACATTAGCCCCTTCAATTATTCTAAAAGTGGTGCTTTTTTCGCATGATATATTAAATTGACATTTATACCTTTAAAGTAAACATTTTATTTTTTTTACTACTCCAACAAATTATTGCGTATACGTAGGGATGACAAATTTGGTGCGTATACAAATTGGCATGTACATTTTGGTTTGTGTTTTACTAGTTTCGGGCGTGTGCGAAACGTAGATATAATATTGGGCTTCTTGTGTTTTTTTTTTTTTAAAAATTGTGGGGAATTTTACGATGGTGTGTGCGCGGGTGTGGAATGGCGTGTGCGTTTTCTGTAACAGGAGGTGTACACATGGCAAACTATAAAACGCACCCACCATTCCACACCCACGCAAACACCGCCGTAAAATTCCAAAGAAAATTACTAAGAGAGAGAGAGAAATATTGATTAAGGAGAGCTGAAATAACGCTATGAATCTTTATAAACATATAAATAAATGAAATGGAAAGTAATAAATATAGTGCTTAAGAACAAAAAGACCCATGCTTCATCTAAAATCAGTATAACATGGGATCCAAGTGGTAATCAATCTGAATCGTCAAAAAATTAAAATCAACGATCAGGGAGTGTGCTCACGGGCTCGGCTGACTAGGGGGTGTGCACCGGATTCAATATATATATATATATATATATATATATATATATATATATATATATATATATATATATATATACATTTGTAACGGAAAACATTAATGATAAATATAAATATTTGACCGTTACACAATCAATCTTCATAATGTCTACAATAATTCATCTTTATAACAGGAATGAATTTGTTTCCTATTAAAGCAATATTTCAAGTTCAAACTTTAGATCTGTAAGTGAAATTATGAGGGTTGTTTCATAATAGATCGATTGAAACTTAAATAAAAAATCAATATATATATATATATATATATATATATATATATATATATATATATATATATATATATATAAAATGTTTCATGACTATATACATTAATAAGGAGTAATAATATAAAAGTTATTTAATAGTGTATTACTTAAAAAAAAAATATCGGAATGGGTTGACAAAAAAAATATATAACTATTATTAGAAGATATACATTGAGTAATTCGTTCCTAATTTCTTATGTAATAATTTGTAAATCATAAAGTGTAGTGTATTATTTATTATTATATAATATATCAACCCTAATTTTGTATGTATTATAACAAAAAAAAAAAAAATGAAGTTTTGAATTTTGTAGTGATCACAATTAGTTGGCCGGTCTAATTAATATTATTTTAATATAGTTTGACTCATTTAATGCAGCCAAAAACTAATTTTAAACAACTTTTGAATTTGTCATTTTATTTTCGCTACAAACTCGGCATTATTTTCCCTACAAATTTTTCATCTTGAGTGTCATCATGTGATTAGTAATTAAATTTATTTATTTGTTAATGATAGATTAACTAATTCATTGGCACCAAATAAATAATAAAAGTCACATCATGGAATAAGTTTGGAGGTAAAAAATCACAAGGGGAAAAGAGCGTTTTCCTTCTTTTTCTCTGGTACATAGCCACGTAGGTACTAAATATGAACAAAAATTACATCTATTCCGGTATTATTTGCAAGCTATTATACAAAAATAAAAAGTTTGTCTAGCTCAATTAATAGAGTGCAAGGCTTTTAACCTTGTGGTCATGGGTTCAAGCCACACAATGGGTGAATATAATTATCTTTTTAAAAATAATTATACCAGAGGTCCATTGTCTTTGGTGACAATTTCAAATTTAGTCTAAGACTATCATTTTTGCCATTTAACATACTAGACTATTATTTTTGAATATTTTTAGTCATTCTCATGACTTTTTCTATTTCTAGTAAGGACATTTTTATCTTTTCATATTTTCTTTTGTTATTTTTATGATTTCAATCGGTTTAATTGGTTTAGAACTTTAGGCAACGTCTGATTTTTAGTAACCATATTTTTCAACTGGTTTTAGTAAAGTCATAAACCAAATAAACATGTTGAAACTGAAAAATAACAAAAGAAAAATATGAAGAGACAAAATTTCCTTACTAAAAATAGGAAAAGTCATGAGAAAGACTAAAAGTGTTCAAAACATAATAGTATAGGATGTTAAATAACAAAAACAATAGTCTGTGACTAAAACTGGAATTGTCACCAAAGGCAACGGACCTCTGGTATAATTAACTCTATTAAAATTTGTTTTAAAAGTCATCCATTTGTCATATATTATTACTACGGACATCTTTATTGAGAGTTTTTTTCTTGGCTTTTTGAGGCAAATATGCTAGTTTGAAGCGAGAGGAAAGAGAATAGATATCTTCATAGACTCTTGGACATGAGTTTTGAGAGTTTAGAATTGATTTAACATAAATTGAAAAATTTAATGTATAAAAAGAAATTGTTGTGCAGTAGCCGATGTCGCTCGCGCATCTAGCGCATGAAGCACTCTCAGGTGCGAGCACATACATTTTACTCACCGGGTAGGTGCGTCACCTTCCACAAATGTTGCTCTAAACACGCAACTCAAATGCGCAATACATCACCAATAAGTCGATGTGTCTAA